CCCTTTTTAAAGTGTAAAAGAGAACAGAGTCAACCTCTGCGGAGGAAAAGGAATCCCCTCGGAAGGGTGTATGTGTGTGGGTCACAGCTGAAGACCCACAAGGAGACTCCTTGGTAGCCTCAGAGAATGGTAGCCTCTGGGTCCCGTTTCCAGAACCCTGCTTTCGAAAAGGGATGGAGGAAACATGGTGGGAAAGTGTACAGAGTCAAGAAGGAGGAGGAGGACGAGGGCGAGGAGTTGGTTTTTATACCCCGCCCTTCACTACCCAAAGGAGTCTCAGAGTGGCTTACAATCACCTTCCCTTCCTCTCCCCACAACAGACACCTTGTGAGCTAGGTGGGGCTGAAAGAGGCGGAGGAGGAGATTGGATTTATACCCCGCCCTTCACGACCCGAAAGAGTCTCAGAGCAGCTTACAAACTCGTTTCCCTCTCCCTCCCCACAACAGACACCCTGTGAGGTAGGCGGGGCTGAGAGAGCTCTGAGAGAATTGTGACTGACAGAAGAAGAGGAGGAGGAAGAGGAGATTGGATTTATACCCCCAATCCTTCACTACCCGAAGGAGTCTCAGAGCAGCTTACAAATTCCTTTCCCTTCCCCTCCCCACGACAGACACCCTGTGAGGTAGGTGGGGCTGAGAGAGCTCTGAGAGAACTGTGACTGACAGAAGAAGAGGAGGAGGAGGGGATTGTATTTACACCCCGCCCTTCATTAACCGAAGCAGAGCAGCTTACAAACTCCTTTCCCTTCCCCTCCCCACAACAGACACCCTGTGAGGTAGGTGGGGCTGAGAGAACTCTTTTGAGAACGGTTTGTGAGAGAACAGCTCTGAGAGAACTTGTGACTGAGCCAAGGTCACACCAGAAGCTGCACGCGGAGGAGTGGGGAATCAAACCCGGTTCTCCCAGATTAGAGTCCGCGCTCCTAACCACAGCACCAAACTGGCTCTCTTCCCTCCTCTGTGTTCCACTAGAAATCTCTCCAAAACAAGACCAGCAGTTCTGATTACTATCTTTTATCTTTTCC